ATCCACTCTCCTCCTGCACAATTGCTAACCTTAAAAATTACCTCGTTCGAGCCTCTCCTTACGCCTTTATCAATTTATTACAAGTTCCCCGGCGAATCTGCCGGTAAGAAACTTGTGCAGCAGCCACGCTTCTCCGGCGAAAGAAAAGAAGGAAAGAAAAAGTGGAGGAAGAATATGTTAAAAACGGAAAGTACGAAGTCTTGACGAAGTAGCGAGAGAGCAGAGGCGAAAGCAACACGTACACGTGAACCACAGGAGAGCGGCGTTGGCTCGCGTAAACGGGATTTTTTTCAATTTGGACCGGTAGGCGAGCGCCACTTGCCATAACGCAATTAATAAACTCAACGAGCGAGATCCGATCCCGATAGCGGCGGCGTAACATCCATTCGGGACGTGGCGGGCACAATGGCCGGCACAATGGACGTGTATACGCGTGGTGCACACCGCGGATCGGCCGATACGCATCTATGTTGTCTCTACAAAATTAAAACCGATGAGAAAAATAAACAGCCTGAGGGGATGGGGTAGAGAAGACCATAGACAGAGAGAGAGAGAGAGAGAGGGGAGAAAAAAAAGAGAAAACTGTGTGTGTGTTGTGAAGGGGTTGCTTAGGTTAGCGACGCGTGCACCAGAGAGAGCACGAGTGAGAAAGAGAGTCGAATCGAGAGTCTGTGTCGGTGTCTGGTGGATGGGAAAGCCACTAGGCTCGCGCCTTTTGGTCTGGTTCGCGGCTTACGGCCCCGATCGTTTTTCGATGAAACTATTCCCGGAGCTGGAACTACTAAGCTAGCCTGCGTAATAAACTAATGACTATCGGCTAACGTCGGAGCCCGTTCGTGTGCGTTCCATGCACGCCCCTCTTCCGCCTCCTCCTCTCTCCCTCCTCCCACTCTGGGCGTAATTATTTAATGCATCGATTACCGAAATAGCATTAATCAAATTGGCCGGCCGCAATTTATATTATATGACCTAATGCACGGCGAAACGTATATTAATGCTCAAACTAAGTAAATTATCCAAGCATCCGCGTTTACGCGCCCAACGATGAATTTCTCTTCTTGTGCCGGGGGGTAGGGGGAGATTGCGAGCAACAGCCGGTGGTCGGGCGTGTTGTGTACAGTCTGCGGAAGAAATATCGCGGGGTCGTTAACTGAGATGGTTTTTAAACAACCTTCGTTCTCGTACAGATGACTTTCATCTCTCGTCTTATCACACTTTTTCAGTTTTTAGGAGAAGGAGAAGAAAGTTTCTTAATTACCGCAAAAATTTGGTCACCTCGATTCACTCACATAAAATAGAAATTTTTCACTTGCGACACGTTTCTCAAGAGGTCGCGATATATCGTAAGTCGGAAGAATGAACATGCCAAGTCTAACTGCCGGCCAACAGCCGCTCTATTTCCTCTCCCGAGAAAGGACAATAGAACAGGTTCATCAGCTCGAAATCGCTCCATTAAACCCGGTACGAATGAGACAAGGGACGCCACGTTCCCATTTCGGAGCGTCGGATCGTGGATAGAAACGCGACGTGTCGCGGTTCGCGAATCGCGTTGCCGCTGGGGGAGGAAGGGAGGCGGCTGTCCGGGCGGATACAAGAGAGGGGCGTCCCCGAGAGTGGGTGGGTGGGTGGTGTCGCGGCTGCAACGACGCTGTATCGGCGAGCGAATGCTCATAAAAGCATTGATTAACTGTTGCCGCTCGTAGGTCAGCCAACGCGGCTGGCTCGTGTACTAATAAAACCTGGTTAATAGGTGGCCTCGACGTTGCTTCGATATCGCAACACGGTTCTCTCTCTCTCTCTCTCTCTCTTCGATAACAACCTTTTTCCCCAGCGACAATTTTCACGCTTTCCATCCGCTCCCTGCCTTTCTCCAACGATCCTCGTTGTTCCACGAAAACTCAGCAGCCTAGCTAGCTATCTAGCTACAGAGGGGAAAACCGCGAATTTGCGGTCGAAAACAGCGAGCTGGATCGCGTGTCCGCGCGAAGTAATTAACGAATCGCGGTAAGGGATGAATCTCCACTTGAAAATCGAGAGAACTGCACGCGTGGTCCCTCTGCAGAGGTTGTGCCTCGTTACGACGAGTTTGGGGGTTAGCGGAGATAGGAAATCGGTAGCGAAGCGACGAGAACCACTGGCTTACGTGGAATTTTCACCCTGCGGTCAGAAATTAGCGAGAGTACGAGGGTGCGAGGGAGGACGAAACCGAAGCCAAAACCGAGTTGCCCCGGAGATTTGACGCGAGAGTGAAATAATCCTCGCGATTAAAGCGATAATAACGTCCGTAGAGATTATCGCAGTGTGTACGGGTTGCCGTGACACAGGGGCAAAAACGACGCGATCGTTTTCACGTTTTCATCGTTTATACGCCGACTTTTACATTCACCTGGAATAATTCACGGTGTTTTCGAGATTACTCTTGGTTAGGTA